GGTACAGAGGTGTTGAGTAACTTGCCAAGTCAAGCAGCCAGTGTTTGGCAGACTCACTATTTGAACTCAAACAATCCGAGTCCACTGTCTGTCTTAAAACCACTTTTTTTCTTGATTCTTTCATGGATGGTTCTATTTTAAGCTTCATAAGTAGAGGAGCTCATACGTGTGAAGTATTTAAAACAGTGTCTTGTATTGATTAAGTGCCAATAAATGCTGTCTGCTGTTCCTTCTACTGCTATTTCTACTACAACTTAATAGTTAAGTGTGAGAGAATGAATGTGAAGCTTAAGTGCCTTCGATAAATACAACACCTTATATACACACATACACAACATCTCATCAGTATAATTTATACTGTGTCAGAGAAGTCTCTATCACAGCAGCTTGTTACCAGTAATATTCAATTTGTTTTGTTTTATTTATTTATTTTTATTTATCTGGTTTACTGTCTGTCTGGCTTACTAGATTATGAACTCCATAAGCAGAAAGCTTGTTTCCTTTCTTTCTGTTTTACACCCAGTGACTAGCAGAGAGCAGGACACATCGTAGGTACTCAGTAAATATTTATAATAAACAAAGATGAATACAGTAGAAATAAGAAGAAAAAGTCATTTTTCCCTTAGTCACTTGCACAGCCTATCACAAAAACATTGAAATGAGAACATACTGCATTATTTTTCCATAACCATTAGCAAGGTTATAACCAGGCCCTCGGCATAAAGAATGTGCACATTAAAGAACTGTAAGCAAGGGCTCTCTGGCCCACTTCAAGATACCCTTGCCATTCTCCCTGGATCTCCTACCTGCTTTGTCTCAAGAGTAACATAAGAAGGCAAATCGATTTCCCAGAGTTACAGCCAAGACTCACATTAGCTCCAGAAAACTGTGAAATACCTTCTGTGGGAGATTTCTTGGTTTTGGAGGGAAAATATCTGAATCCAAAGATGAAGTTTTTCTTTCTCCAACAAGAAAAGATATTTATATTAGTATATCATGCAGAAGACAAGAGAAGACTGAGGCTTGGAAGAGTGGCAATGAAAGAATTGGGAAAGGTCATCAGGTGTAAGGAAGTGTCATTAGAGACTAAGGCCAAGATTGTCCACACCTCCTATTCCCAATTATCATAAGTGGGTGCAAAAGCTGGAGAGTGAAGAAGGCTGACAGGAAAAAAATTGATTCATTTGAAATATGGTGTTGGAAGACAGCTCTACAGATATGCTGGGCTGCCAGAAAGATGAACTAGTGGGTCCTAGAGCAAATTAAGCCTGACCTATCGCTGGAGGCAAAAATGATAAAACTGAGGCTGTCCTACTTTGGGCACATCATGAGAAGGCAGGATTATTTCAAAAAGACAATAATGCTGGGAAAAGTAGGAGGCAGCAGGAAAAGAGGAAGACCAAATATGAGATGGACTGACTCCATAAAGGAAGCCATAGGCATGGGTCTACAGGAGCTGAGTAGTTCTGTTGAGGACAGGACATTGTGGACATCACTCATTTGTAGGGTCGCCAGGAGTAGGAGCCGACTTGGCAGCATGTAACAACACTGTGCGGAATAATATGCCACCTGCCTACCCTCACAAAATTTATATATCTTATTCCTACTCCGTGGGATTATCCCACCAAGAACTTTCTCCCCTGTATGTTCTCAGCAAGAACAAGCTCTAAGAGAGTACTGTGATGTCTATTTTAATATCTTAAACTAGACACTAGCTTTCAAAGTTCTGGAATATAATATAAAGGACCACGAAGAGGGAAAATAAAGAAGAGAGTGGAAAGCAATGATTTATTAGCAGAAGTTATTTTCCTATATAGAAACCTTTGGAGAAATGAACAAAGAAAGAAGACATAAAACCTTCTTAAATGTCAATCTTTTTTGGTAAGAAGTAGTTTCTTGGTACTGATTTTTATGTAAAAATGTGTTTGGTATCAGATTTATAAATTGCTTAGGATTGTACACTCTTTAGATGATTGAAAGAGTTGCTATCATTTTTATCATATATTTAACAAATCATTATAACATAATAATATATTGATGTCCACATGAGTACAATGTGGAGAATTGTTCATTACCTCTGATAGCCATAAGTTTATAGTTTCAGTCAGTAAAAAGATTGCTATTTTTATTATAGTAAAATTTTAATCTACATATAAATATTTAATTCTGAGGGGAAATTTAGTGGAATCATGTCAAGAAAAGAGAAGAATGCCAGGGATAGAACCTCAACAGGATTTCTATGGTGAGAGTAAGAGAAAAGTGGATTGACATGTTGTAAGCAACGGGACGTCATAATTAAACTTTCTATTCTAACCCAAGTCTATTTCTGTATTAAATCAGATGAAATTCTTATGGTCTTTTTAAAATTGACTTTTCTCTCTTCTTAGAATATTTAATAAAGCAATAACTTGTAATATACTTGCATAGTCCTTAAATTGAAAAAATGTATATATTAATGGTTTTTTTAATGCTACAGAAATTTAGGTTTAGTAATACAAATGAAAGCATATAATGTCACCAATTCTTAAAATTCTAAACAATTATATATGTTATATCATGAAAATCTTGAAAGAACATGAATGAAAATTCAACCAATATATTTTTGTAATATTTTGAACTGCAAGGTGCTTTAGAGGCTTCTGTTGTTTCTCACATTCGAGTTAATTTTATTTAATTCAAAGCTCCTTTTTAAAATACATAGGTTACTTGTATTTAGTTTTGCCAACATAAAATAGAATGGTGTTTTTTGTGTGCTTTTATGAGCCATCCTCTTGGTGCAATATCCTCACTGGATATAATTGTGCGCAAACAGTCCTTGGTCTATGATCTGTATTGTAAACAGAATTTGAACATATCGCTTGAAGGGAATGATGGAACTAATTTAAAATATTTCAGATATTTTCAAAAATGAGTGTCTGCAGAATAGAAATACCTATGGAAAAGGGGCTAGATTTATTTATTTTTATTTTTTTATTCTTATTTTTTTTGAGAGGAATATTAGCCCTGGGCTAACATTGTGCCCATCTTCCTCTACTTTATATGTGGGACGCCTGCCACAGCATGGCTTGATAAGTGGTCCGTAGGTCTGCTTGCGGGACCAAACCTGGGAACCCTGGGCTATCAAAATGGAGCATGCGAACTTTTTTTTTTAAATAATTTTATTTATTTATTTTTCCCCCAAAGCCCCAGCAGATAGTTGTATGTCATAGCTGCACATCCTTCTAGTTGCTGTATGTGGGACGCGGCCTCAGCACGGCCGGAGAAGCGGTGCGTTGGTGCATGCCCGGATCTGAACCCGGGCCGCCAGCAGCGGAGCGTGTGCACTCAACCGCTAAGCCACAGGGCCCACCCTGGAGCATGTGAACTTAACCACTATGCCATGGGGCCGGGCTAGGATTTATTTTTTTAAATGGCAGAAATAAGACTTGATTTGTGGCACAAAGAAATGAGCTGTGAGAAGAGACAGGGGGAGAATGAAATTAACTACAGTCATCATTGTACAACTAGGTCTCACTTTACAGAATAAACGTATTCTTCAAAATGAGGAAAATTATATTTAAAAATCAAGTCTTAGTTTAGACATATTAGCAAAACCCACTTTTAAAAGAAAATGTGTGTGTGTGCATGTGTATCTTTGCTCAGTGCTTTGCATCTAGTCAGAAGGGGCACAAAACAACTTTTGGAAAAAGCCTATAAAGTCTTTCTATGTATATCCAAATCACAAATTCTAAATCCTAATCTTGAAAGTGTTTTTATATGGCTTATATATGAAAGCACTCGTATACTTACATTGACATAGAAGTGACATATCACCTAGATGGTGAGGATGGTATTGGGAGAGACTTACATAGAATTTCAGTATCTAGAATAGAAACTCCGTGAGGGCAGGTATTGTTCTTTGTTTTGATCACTGTAATCTCCTAAGCCTCTAGAACCCTATGTTGTACACAGTGAGCTCTCAATAAATATTTGTTGAATGAATGAATGGACAGTTTGTAAATGATCACCCTGCTTATGTTTTAGATCATAAAAATGAGAATGTAGCCAGTTGTAAGTTACTTGTCTGAGGCAAGTGGTGGCAAAAGTGTAATATTTAGGTTCCTAAGGCGGTGATATTGTCTTTCAATAAATTATTCTACTGTTAAGTGCTAAGCCAGTGATAAAAGGAAACATATAACCAAGGTAATTTGTACTAAAAGAGAATTTCCAGGCTAACATCTTATATTCTATATACTTCCTTACTTAAATCATTTTATGATTTACAAAGCATTTCTACATGAGGTAAAGAAGGTAATTATCAATTTTATTATGAAGATTTATTTATCTATTTAATAAACAGTAAATATTTTCCTTCTGCAGTATGCTAAGTGGTGAGGATATAATTATGTACACATGGCTGCCATGGTCTCTCTTCCATGGACGTTTCCTCTTGTGACAGAAGCAAATTAAAAAAAGTAAACACATACATGAGTAAAATAAATCTGTCTTGTGATAAGTACTTTGAACAAAATAAATGGAGATTGGAGGTTTGGGGATTGCATGAATCTGTAGTTACAGTGAGCAAGGAAAACAATTTTGTGGAGATAACATTTAAGCTGAGATTTGAAAGTTGGAAGTTTAGCTTAAAAAAGGACTTCCTAGTTTGGATAGGATCTAAAATATCTCCAAAGGCAGATATATATGCCATTGGGAGGGGGAAGGAGAAAGGTTACTACACCTGTGACGTACAATGATTAGTAGAGTTGGAAATGCTTGCAATCCAATAGTAAATGCCCACTTACCAAAATGGAAACATTCTTATTCTGTCAAGTAATTATTACGAAGCACTCATATTTTTTTATATTGTTCAACCAACGTTTGTATGTTAAAATAACTGCCCAATCTAAAACAAAGGAATAGAATTTTGATAATACCCAAACAAATGCAGTATAATTTTATATATTGTTTTGACTATATTTCTATTTTTTATTTGATTTCTTTATTTTATACATGTTTCCCAGGATAGTCCACTGGTCTTACAGTCTGACAGGAATGTAACAGTGAATGCAAGAAATCACATGGGGCAGTTAACTGGACAGCTGACAGTAGGTGAGTGTTTGGGGTAAAGATTGCTCGTACCATCTTACTCCATTTAAAACTGTGTGGTTGTTGAAATTGGGAAAAGCAAAGTATATTATTTCTCTAATATATAACTAGATATCCCATTATAGTCTAATTTTCTTGCACATGATTTGATTTGTCAGAGGCTGGTTATGATTTCCTCTATTTGGTAGTTATTACTCTTGTAGATGTGTTATTATGAGACTGAACTACATATATCTTGTCATTAGTACTCTTAAATTATGAAATGCACCATTTTCCTAACAAATATCTCCCTAGTATCTGTTAAATTATAGTAAACAGGCTTAAACAAACATGTCAGATATAACATCATGTGGTCTCTGTATCTTTTGTTTTATGCAAAAATTTTTCTAATAAATATTATCTGCTTATATAAGTTAGAAATGACATAGTTGAATATACTAAATCTTAACATTTATCAATTATGTATAAATTTGATGTTGAAGTTATCTATATTTTAACATTTATATGCTTTTGAAGTTATAAGTTTATGATAAAATATTATTAGTGTTTTCTCATCTTGTCAGAAAATTTTAATTTAGAGACTCATATGGCATTAATATTTGACTCAATTTTTATAAGAAGAAAGGCAAATTAGAAGTCAGTTGTAATTACATAAAATAATACAAGGATTTGATTTATCTGTAATTACTAAAATATTTTTAGAATACTATATTTTTCTGTGGGAAAATTACCTAATACTGATATTTTGTGTGTGTGCATGCCTGTGTTTTATATACGTGTATATATAAAAGTATATGTAACTTTTATAAATAATAAATTACAGTTTTGAGGACTGAATTATCCTTATCTTAATGAGCAATTAATCATCACTTTAATGCAAATGTATGGTTCCAGTATTTCTAATTAAATTACACAAGAAAATGATATTTGAAATGTGAGATTTATAAACATTAACTTGATTCTGTCCACTTCATGTGTAGATACGTGAAACACTTTTTGATATTCTATTCACTTTAGTGAAGTATAGGGGAGGAAAAAATATTCCTCTATCCTTCCAAGCTTCTTCTGGTTGGTCTAAGAATTAAATTGACATGAGACAGAATAACAGGAAAAAAATCAAACAAGTTCAATAACATACATATATGGGAGAAACCCAGGAAAACTGAATAACTTGCCAAAATGGCAGAAACCACCACCTTAAATACCAGCTTCAGCTAAAGACAAAAGAGGATGTTGAGGGTTGTGATTTGGCACTTTAAAGGGGGAGGAAGGCAGTTCACAGGGAGAAGGAAAAGCAAATGTTTGGTAAACAAATGTTTGCCAGGCCTTGCTAAGACAATGGTACAGGCAGAGGACTTTGATCAAATGGGCCTTCCTAGGTTCCTCCCTGTCTACCACACCCTGTTCATATTATACTATAGTTATCTATGGTGATAGCTGCTTCCTGGAAGAGGTCTTCTATCTTAAATTCTTTTAGATACTTAGAGGGAAGGTCAAAGTTTCTTCCTGAGTCTTTTGTTCTTAAAAATAATCAAGCCAAATGGCCCGGGTTCGAATCCCAGGCGTGCAGGCGCCGCTTCTCTGGCCATGCTCAGGCCGTGTCCCACATACAGCAACTAGAAGGATGTGCATCTATGACATACAACTATCTACTGGGGCTTTGAGGGAAAAAAATAAATAAATAAAATCTTTAAAAAATAATAATAATAATCAAGCCAAAGAGATACATTTTAGAATAGTAAATTCTGCTCCCTTACAGAAGCCAAAAGTGAGATATATTTTCATATATAAGTATTTCTAAAAAATATAATTGCATTTTATTTATAATAATTAAATTTTATTTTACATATTCTTTACATCATAAAAGTTGGTCAGTAGATATCTATTAATTGTTATAATTCAGTAGTATTGTGATATGTAGAAATATATCAATTATGAAGGAGAGGTATATGCAAGTGGATTAAAAATTAAAGAAATATGTCTATGGATACAGACCTGATTCAGAAGCACCAGGCACTCAATTTAAATGTTCATGCCAATTCACTACTGCTATGTTGGAACTGCAGAAACAGGCCTAAACTGGGCATATTTTCCACATCATAATTTTTTTTTTAATGTTGAGAACTCTTTAGCTAGATAAAACATTCCTTTGCATTCTGTTCTTGATTTAAAAAAAGAAAAGAGGTTCTTAGTGGAAATGCCAAATGTAAATTAAACACACAAAGACTATTTACCAGTGTCCACTGTCAAATACAATAGATATATGACTACTGCCTGTAAGGCAAAGCAGCTGTTTGATTATATAGTGTGTAATCAAATACCGTTTCCATTTTGCTGCATGGTTTATCTCTTGAAGTCTCAGTTTTCTCATCTCTAAAATAGAGATAAGGACACTTATTTTGAATTACAAGAATTGGGGCAATTTCAGTGTCTGCACAGGGTAGGTAATTATATTTTGAATCTGTTATTATTTTGACGATGGTGATTATAATTTTTGATATCTCTTAAGTTATAAATACATTGCTGCTATGTGAGAGATCTCATGATGATTTTCTATCCAGCATATCTCTGTGGTAGTAGTGTTACTGCACAAAGGGCACGAACAGCTCACCGCAAGACAAAAACCAGTTGTCAAGAGGCAAGGTGGTGGAAAAGTTTATTACAGCTTGTTAGCAAGGGGGAAGATGGCCAACTAATGTCTGAAAGAACCATCTTAAGGGGGCACAAAATCTTACAGCAGTTGTATAGGCCAGTGTGTTATAGGGGAGGGGATTAGGAATGTTGACCCTCTGGTCTTACAGAGCAGGAGTCGCCACACCAGATCTTTCAGTTTTCCTTGATGATGGCTATCAGCATAGACTCTCTGTTGGGGGGGTCATCACATTCCTAAGGAACTCAAAAGAACAAAGTTATCATCTTATTGCAGCTGGATGCACAACAGGGGTTGTAAAATCTACAGAGCAGTTAGATCTCCTGGAGGGTGCATATCCAGCTGAGTGAGTTAGTCAGAGGTCACTCAAAGTTATAATAGGGTTTCTTTTCTACAATATGGCTTCCCTTATGTCAACTTTGTCTTGAGCCAGTATCAGTAGTTGAGAAATGTATGTTGGATTATGAGACTGTTGCAAAGACATACTACAAACACATCACAAAAAGTGTATCTGATGCGTGGAAAATTTTTGAATCATGTCAAGATAAAATTATCTTTAGGTAGAATTTGAAGAGATAATAGGATGAATCCAAGCAATGTATTCAATCAGCATTCATTTTTAAAGACTTTAATTTTAATTGTATTGACATAAAGTAACCGTTTTAACTCTCTTCTCCCGTTTCTTTGTTTAGGGGCGTGGTCTTGATTATAGTATAGGCATGATACTATTTTGCAATATTTAAAAATATATGACCACAAAATGGACTAATATTTATGAAAAATAAATTCAATTATTCTTCATTTTCTAAATAAAATAATTATAATTTCTACCCTAAATCTATCAATTACTGTTGGAAAAGTGTAGTCAATTCTACCAATGTGACAGCCTTTGAATATTTTTCTACATTTTATTCCCATTATATATGAGAAAAGAAAATCTCTCTTATCACTAGCTACGTGTACCATTTTTTTCCAAAATTATATATAAGATAGTTTAGCAAACATCCATTCCCATTGTACCCTGCCCTTCCACTTTTGTTTACAAGTCTATCTTCCTACTGATTCTGTTCACAAGGATGAATGTAATCCAAGGCCTGGGGAGACCTACTGTGTTAATTCTAATCCAGACTCACTCTAAGAATATGAAACCAGATTATTTCTAACCCAATAAATGCAAAGAAAATATTTTATACCTATGCCAGCTCAGACATAATCAAAAGTAAATCTAAACATTTTTAGACTTTGGGTAAAAATAATCAATTGGACAAATATTTTTTGTGTGTTCATCAAGTTCCAGGTATTATGTTACATTTCTGATAATATCAGAATCTTCCCACAAAGTCTAAGACTCTAATTTTTCGTGACCTTCATAACATAGGAGGAGATTGATGAACTCAAGATTACTTCCTACAAATTTCTCTTCTTAGAATAAAGCTGAAAGAGAGGAATATGATTGTTTTGGGGAAGTGGTTAAAGAAAGTACAGGATCCCAAGAGTTCAGACTCCCTGAAGAAAAACCAAGAACTTTCTTAAACAAGTCTCAGAATCATTCTCGAAGTCAAAATTTCTATTTTTCAATTTACAATTACTATGTTAGCAAGACAATCATTTTTTATATAAGTGACAAAAATAGTGTGTAATGTTAGGTGTTATATGTTCATATGTCTTGAGAGCATGATACTTTATCTTTTCCAGGACATTTCCATCAAATAATGTGGATAAAAGGTGTAACTTATGCACCATTTTTGTGAATCTTATTGTATTCTCTTAGGAAACTGCTACAATGTGATATATAGAATAAAAATCATTTCTTTAGGGCAGCACAGATGAAATATTGTCATGTAGTTTTGATATAGACTTTGTTCATAATACTGATAAAAGTAATAATTAATGTAGTTGTAATTGGATTTGCTAAAAATATAAAGACCTTTCCTACAATATCGTAGGGATAATTAATTACCTTTTATTTACCAATAACATTACATTGAGCTATAAAAGAAAAGATTTAAACTACTTTTATAAGTAGTTTAAAAAATATAAATATCCATTTTAGCAAAATGATTCAATAACTCTTAGCCAAATTGATTAAGGTATTAAATTTTATGTTGCTTTTTCTTACGTTACATTATAAAGTATTGTTTATCAGTGATAAAGCAATGACAAAAAACTAGTAAGATTTTTTTCCCTCTTGTATGCCTTTTGTTATCAATCTATAGCTCGAGAATAAAAATAAAAGGAGAACAAACTGAAAAATTGAACAAGGAATTGATGCTGGCCCTGATATCAGTTCCCTTACATTAAACCTAGAACATATGGGGTTAAAACCAAAAGCACTCATCCTCTTTTCCTGCTT